CCTCGGAAACCCTGTACAGGGTCGCTATGGGTCGGACCCGATTCGATGGCACTTAACAACAACAACAACAGCCATCCACTGAGTTCGCAAAAAGCCTATGAACCCAGGACTTCAGGAGGTCACTTCCTTGGCCCCCAGGGTCCATGGCTCGCAATTCTGAGGAGGGCCCCGGGGTTGGATTTTTATCCATTTTGTCACAGGGCCACAGTTTCTCCGTACTTTCGGATGCTGTCGCCAGCACATGCTTTGTATTTATCTATGAAATGCAGTTGGCTGATAGTGTTGTTAAGTTCCTCTGTCTTTGTCGAGTTTCTTTCTGGTTGTTCTATCCATTTCTGAAAGCGATGTATTAAAATTGCCTGCTATTAGTGTAGATTCGTCTATTTCTTCTTTCCAAATATATTAGTTTGCTTTATATATTTTGGATTTCTTTTATTGATAGCCTAGATATTTATTATGGTATGTCATCTTATTTAATTGTCACTTTAATCATTAGATAATGTCTATCTTTATCTATTATTCTGGTTTTTGCCTTAAAGTTTATTTTATCGGAGATTAGTACTGCCACTCTTGTTCGTTTATTATAATTAGCTTGGTATAGCTTTTTCCATCCTTTCTTTTAATGTGTTTTTGTCTCTGTGTGTAAGATATGTCTCTTGAAGACAACATCTAATTTGATTGATCCTGTAGCGTTTTCCTGACTTCTTCCTTATTTTTCTCAACTCCATTGTGAAGTGTTTTGATACATTTTATAATTATTTTTCTAATTCCTTCTCAGGCATTTCCAAGGCCTGACCATCTTCCAGTATGGAGTGTAGGTCTAACAACAGATCTTTTGTCTCAGACACTTTGTCTTGTTTCTGGACATGTGCTGATATGGTCATCTGTTTTTGCTTCTTGGGTATGTTGAGTGATTAGCTGTGGCCTTAATACTTAATTGAGTGTGTGTTATGGTATCTTTTATACTTCCTGATTGCCTCCAGGTAGATGTGATCAGCAGGTGGACTTTTCGTTTTCATTCTTCTTAAGACTTAACTAGTAACTTTCACAGGTGTTGTCTGCCTTCTTGGTGTATGGCAGTTGGTATTGTTTCTTGCCTGGATTGTGGGGTTTTATAGGATGTGATTATAGCTTGCCTACATGACAGCAGGTGCTGTCTGTTCTTGGGTAATATAGAGATATAGAAAGAGCCCCCAATGGTAAAAGGGGGAACCAAAAAAGCAATAGCAAAAAAAAAAAAAAAAAAAAAGATTGGATACTGTAGTCTATAATCGCAGAAAAAAGAGAGGAAAAAAAAACATGTGTAGCCTAATATAAGTATGACTTTAATGTGCCCTTTCAGCTTCTTGCTTTTAAGGCTGCCTGAGAAGTTTGAGGATGCCACTGTTGGTTGTTATGATGTAACTCAGGATTTATTTTTCATCCTGTTTCATTTTTAGTCTCTCTCTCCCTCTCCATAACCTCTGTTCTGGCATTTTTATTAATAATAAACATTTCAGGGCCACCTATGGCTGTTGTGTGCTGCCATTGGTTTTAAAAGCTGAGAGGATCTGTGCACATGTGTAGTAAAAGTACCCTCCACTGTTGGTTGTGGTGGTGGTGCATTTACTTGCTCAGGCATGCACTCTAGTCACCAGAATGGAGGTGTGCAGGCAGTGAGAGACCAATGACCAGACTAAAAACAAAAGGCAAAACAAAACACATTGTCCTTAAATTTATCTCCAAGGTTCTTTCAGGAGTCAGTCTCTGGCGGGTCTATTTGCTCCCCAACTTGGTCACCTGTTGGGTCTTGCACAAGTTGTTGGCTCCGCCCAGCACATTCAAAAGCACTCAATTTCTTACTTCTGCTGTAAGTTCCACTAGCTATAAGCCTTCAAACTTTCAAAATACTCCTACATAGGTGGTTCAGAGTTTTGGAGCTCTCCCCTGAACCTGTTTCATCTAGTATTCTGTGTTATAGCTGACATGAGATTGTCACTGCACCTCTACCCTATCTGCCATCAAGCTCCACCCTGACTGATTTTTTATGTTGATGTTGTACCCTGCCACTTTACTGAATCATCCCATGAGTTCTAGTAGTTTTTTTTTGCCCAGTATTTGGGGTTTTCTGTGTATAAGATCATATCATGTACAAATGGAGTTTTACTTCCTCTTTGCCAATTTGGATCATTATATACAATTAATCAGACAGCAACTATTCCTGCCCAGTGTAATCTGTTAACATTAATATGTTTTGTCCTGAGGAAGTATATTTATTGCATGCTGTCATCAGATATTCAAGTATTAATTAGTGTTAACGTTTACATTTTTGTTTTTTTTCCTGATGCAGATTCCTCATCGCAAAGGAGCATGGGCTCTTCAGGGTACTCACTAGACTTGATTGACTTTGCGTGTTTCCTCTGCAGGAGGTAGGATGGGGAGAGACAGCATTATCCAGCTCCTTAAAAAAATTCTGCCTGAGTTCTTATACCTAAACGTAAATAGGCATTTTATTACCAGAAAAATGATTCGTACGTCAGTAATAATAATTGAGTTACTTTCTTAAAGTATTGAAGTTGGTGTAAGTGAATTCTAAAAGATTTAAGGATATTACAGAAGGAATCACTAAAGGAATAGAAGATTGTTTAGTCTATTCTGGACCTTTCTTACTGAAAACCACTGATTTTTTTTTCCTTCCCCAGGTTGCTTTTTGAGCCTGTCACTACACCATGTGGACATACTTTTTGCCTGAAATGCATTCAGTGCTGCCTTGACTATATCTCATTTTGTCCAGTGTGCAAAGAAACGCTTTCTGAAGTAAGTTGATTTTGTAAAACAACAAGATGGCCCCTTTTTTGAACCCCATTTCCTATATTTGCTTTGTTCCTACTAACCAATTGTTAAAATATATGGGTCTCTTTCCTGTGCTTTCTCAAACATCTATTGAAAATAACGTATATTGTCTGAATCCGTGTTGTTGAGTTGTTTCTGACTCATACTGTAATCGGGTTTCCGAGAAGTTGCCGGTGTGTTTGAACTGAGTTGGTTCTGACTCACTCATATACTCTATTCGGGTTTCCGAGGAGTGGCTGGTGTGTTTGAACCGCCAACCTTGCAGTTAGCAGACAGCATTATGGTGCCCTTAATGTGTCCCATGGCGTCTTACCATCAACTCCTATCAATGTGGAGTCTTACTGATTCAGTTATTTTGCATAAAATGGAGGACTAGCCTCATGCCTGGTGACTGCTGAGTCCCTCTTAGAGCCCAGTCAGTTGTAACTATCTTTGGTCTGAAATCAAAACCAGGAAAACCTAGATTTTGCAGGGGAAGCTGGTCAGATACATTTAACGCAGAGGTAAGCTACTTAAAACAGATTTAAGACTTTATGATTGATTTTTCAAATAGTGAATATTTATAGCAGTGCCAATAAATTTCCACAATTAAAATTTTTGTTTTCTGTTTTTTTTTTAAAAAAAACAAACAAACACTTTTAAGTGAACACAGCAAATTAAATTCCTGTTCAACAATGAATATACAAATTGTTTCATTAGTTGATTATAGTCTCCACCAGGTGTCAGCACTGCTCCCCATTTTTGCCCTGCCTGCCCTGGTTTTATCCATCCAGTTTCCCTGGGCCCCCCACCCCCCAATCTGTTCTTTTTAAAAGATTATTGACCTGGTTAAAAGGGTGTTTTAGGGTGTCAGTCTCAGGGTTCCTCTAGTCTCTCTCAGTTTAGTCTTTTGTTAAAAAAAATATACAGTAAACTGAGTTTTTGATCTGACACGGTAAGAGAGAGGTTACACTTGAGTTTTTAAATGATATTTTTTTTCCCTCTTTACTAATAAAAATTAAAGCTTTCTAAAACACGAGATTGAGTCCTGGTGTGGTGCTATAGGATAAGCACTGGACTTGCTAAGTGCAGGGTTGGTGATTTAAACCTGCCATCCTCTGCTTGGAAGCTCCTTATAGGGTTGCTGTGAATCAGAACTGGCTTGATGGTTAACATAATGCCTAGTAAAACACTTTACTCACTGTTCTTCAGTAAAAAAAAAACTCTCCCAAACCCAGTGTTTTCGACTTGATTCCAACTCACAGCAATCCTGTGTTGAGTTTCTTAGGCTATAAATAATTATGGGAGCATAGGCCTCATCTTTCTCCCATGGAGCCCCTGGTAGTTTTGAACTAACTACTGGCTTTGTTGTTAGCAGTCCAGTGCTTATCCTACACCACTATAGGGCTCCTGTGTGCATATGAGGGGTCTTCAAAGAGTTTGTGGGGAAAAAATGTTCATCTTTTAATTAAGCTTTCTACAAGGCCTATCCTTCCATATAATACATTAAATCATCTCTGTTGTTGGTTGTTGTCATCAACCTATCTCTGATTTATAGCGGCCTTACGCACAGCAGAGTGAAACGCTGCTTGGTCCTGTGCTAAACTGAGCAGTGCAGTATGACTACGCCTTGAGAGGAGATGAAGGAGAAATGAAGGAACTCTCTGTTTTGTGATTACTTACAATCTCTGTTGTTGCTTAAGTGTCCTCTAGTCAGCTCAGACTCATAGTGACCTTATATAGGATCTCTGAGTAGCGCCTGGTGAGCTTGAACCACTGACTTTGACCTAGAGGTTAATTGCTTATCCTTTCAGCGCCACACTAGTGCTCCTTTATAAGCTCTGTTGTTAAGTACTGTTTAGTCAGTTCCAACTCATCGAGACCCCCTGTAGAGGGTTTCCAAGGAGCGACTGGTGAGTTTCAAACTGACTTTTGGTTCAGCGTTTACCTGCAGCACCACAATGCTTTGTAAGTAGCACTTGATACTCCCTCTTTTAGTAATTGCTTTGACCACTTAATTCTGATGTGGTACTATTGGATCAGCATTGCACTAGGAACCACAAGGTCAGCAGTTGAAATCCACAAATCACTCCTCAGAAACCAATACAGTGTGGCTACTAGTTGAAACCAACTTGATGGCACTTTAGCAACAACAGTCCTGACCCTGGATATTTTTATTTTATTTTATTTTAAATGATACAGGTCTTAAAGTATAATGCTATTTTAAGGACCAACCCTATTTATATGAAGTGTCTGCAGTGATACCTGATGTGTATATTAAGATCTCAGTGAAAAATAGTTGTTAGCTGCTATTATCTAACAAATCTGAGCTAAAATAATGTAGACTATATATACACACACACACATACACTAGGGGAATAATTCTTTAGTTGCATATGACCTACCAATCCATTATTCAGTTTCCACATAACTTCCTTTCTCATTGTGCTTGAATAACATGCTCCCTTTCAACTGCCTTTCACAATCCCAGGGTAAAGAAACCCTTTGCCTTTTGCATGTATCATATTAGTAACATTAGCAATCCTAGAGGAAACCACAAAATTAGAGAGATTGGTTTCAGTTGAAATTCACAATCTTAAATCTGAGACTTAAAACTAACACTTGAATTCAAGCATATTACTTTTTTTCCTAGTAGCTTTTTCACTCTCCAAGATGATGATTTTGTATTCCTCTTCTCACTCATTATCTTACTGAATCCATCTGCTTCCTTCTCCCCTTACTGACATTATGAATCTTGAAACTGTAGAGTCCATCAAGAAAGGAAATGTTCCATCCTCCTACCAGGTGTTCTCCTTCCCATGTGTCTGTCCCTGGCACAGGTTTGTCATCCATATCTGTCTTTGAGTGACTACCTCCCCTTGTTGAGCTTCTAGACTGGGAAGAGACTGCTTGTTCTATTTGAATAACTTACTGTGTTGTAAATGACAACATCATCACTTAACATTTCTATTACAGTTTTTGGCAAGCAGAAATTTTAATATAACAACTTTGGCTGAAGAATTAATAGTTCGTTATTTACCAGATGAATTGTCAGAGAGAAAAAGAATTGATATTAAAGAAATGTCACAACTACCAAAGTAAGTACTCAATGCTATCTATGTGTACTTGATTTCAAGTTCAGATTACAGAATAAAACCCTTGCTAACATCATAGCTTTATTTCAGATTTTTGATTTGGCAGAGAAATTGGAAAGTCTCAGAAAATTATAAAAAAATAATTAAGTGCAAAGAGTTTATGGAAATGAAATTTCAATAAGCTATAAGAAGTGTTTCAAAAGTGTTTAGTAGAATTATTTAGTTGTTTTTTGTATTTAGAAAATTGATGCTGAATCTTTTTTTAGAATTGAAATTGTTAAGGATTTAGAACTATAGGAGAGAAAGCAATTCTAAGATTTTGGTGTACCCAAACCATTGCTGTTGGGTTGATTCTGACTCACAGTGACCTTACATAGGACAGAGTGGAACCTTCCACGTGAGGTTTCCAAGGCTGTAAATCTTTACAGAAGCAGACTCCCACATCCTTCTACCTTGGATCATGTAGTGAGTTTGAGCTTCCAATATATTAACAGCCCAATGCTTAACCACTGTGCCACCCGGGCAGGATTAATAATTGTCGGTTGTATCACTGAACATAAAGTTAATGGCAGCTGGAAACCTTTAATTACTGCCGTCTTGTAACTCTTGAACTCTTTTCTGTTTAGAACTCATTACCTTTGTCAATTTATGTAACTTCGCTTTTACTAGAAACTTATGGCAGCCATGAGCTGTAACTTTTCTATGCATGTGACTTGGCATGTTCTCTCTCCTCAAATTAAATAAAATAGGATTGGCAGAAAACACAGATGCACTGAGGAGTTTCTCAAGCCGTGGTCTCTGGCTTTCTTTCCCCATTTACACTTCATCTTGAAGGTTTTATTTTGTAAATGACAGAACTGAGACTTCGTTAGGTTTAGATATTTTGCAGTGACTCACCCTGGCAGAGAAGTAGGAAGTGAGTTGGGCTGCTAACCAAAAAGCCAGGAGTTCAAATCTACTAGCTGCTCCGGGAGAAAGATGAGGCGTTTTGCTCCTATAAAGCTTTATAGCTTCAGAAACCCTATTCAGGGTCGCTATGAGTTGGACCCAACTCAAGGGCACACCACCACCAGTACTTCAATTTGTCTGTCGTAGTTTATGGGCATAGATTAACATTTCCCTTACTTTCTAGCATATACAGAAATGTCCCCATCTTTGCCTGTGCCATAGCCTTCCCATCAGTCACTTGTCCTCTGCGTGTTTATGGGGTACGATATCGGCTTATGATAAGAAGATGCATGGAAGCAGGCATCAATCGGTTTGGCATGTGTTTGCCTACTGAAAACTCAGGGTAAGAATTTTTATAATCTTTTAAGGATCCTATTTTAAGTGCATTGTCATTTTTCTTGAGTAACAATTTAGGAAAAGTGCTTTAAAATCTCCAGTGGCTCCCATTATGTGACAGGGATAAATTCCAGGCAATGCATGATCTAATCTCAGCCTCATTTTTAGCTTGTATCCCAGGCCGTCCTGTCATACAGTATATTTGTCAGTTCCCTACCATATGGTCGACCCTTTGCTGAGTAGCGTGTACTTTTCCTAACCCAATTCATTCACTTAACATTGCTTGCTGTTCCTGCTCAACTTTGAAGGTGCAGTAACATTGCTTCATGAAGATGTTGTCTCCACAGCCAGAAAAGTTTCAGTAGGATAAACACTGGACTACAAAACACAGGTCAGCAGTTGAGGCCTAGCACCCACTGACAGATGAGGCTTTGTCTGCTCCTCTAAGATCTGTGGCCTCGGAAACTTACACAGGACTTTTAGGAGTTGGAATCGACGTTCTTAGCAATGGATTTGGTTTTAGTTCATAAAAATTCATGGTACACTAGAAGGTAGACACACGTTGACATGGGTGGCAATATATCCAGTTAGAGAGAGGTTGGCAGAGGAGATGGCGATAGTAGTGTGAGACACAGGGAAGGTCAAAGTAAATAGAGGTAAATGCTGTTTTTTTAAAGTTTTATTGTGAATTATGTGACAGTTTACGGTTTACGTGGGAGAACATTAGTTTTATACTCTTCGTGTATTGTTTAATTGCCATGGTTACTGTCCCCTCCACACATCATAAATCAACAAAAGGGTACATCTTATAAGCCTGATCTCTTCCCCTCCCCCTCCGGTCATCAGCACACAGTCCCTCTTCCTCCCTGAGTCCTGAGTCCTTCGCTTCCATCTCGGGGATCGCTGCCTCTCTGGGTAGGGTTCCACTCTCCGCTCTTCTCCCTTCATGGTTCCAGGGACCTCCGCTCCCAGCCTGCAAAGTCAATCAGTCCCCTCTTTGCCACAAAATGCCCACTTTTACATTTACAACCTTTACAATCAGTCCTGGTAACAATTATTCACCCTTGCATCACAAGAGACCTCTCTGCAGTTCCTTTTATCAGTCCTGCTTAGAATTGGGTAATACTCAGTGGAGATTCTGTGGAGATTATTCTACCTTTCTCCATGCTCTCTGGCTCTAGGTTCCCTCTTGAAAGCTTGTAAGCCGGTCACTTCTTGCCTTTGTAGCCCCCCATCTTCCAATTTGGATAGTCAATGTCCAAGTTGCCCATCCCTGTCTACTCTGTGTATTGAGCGGGTGGAAATGATCCCTGCTGCAAAGATTTGTTACCTCTTTTTAAGCTACTCCATCCATAGTTATAGTTCAAGATCATCTAATTGTATCAGGTTACTCCCTCCTAGTTGAACTCTGATCACCCAGTCATTGAGTTTAGGTCAAATGGGTATTATCTGGATGTGTGGGTGCCCTTGTGGATATTATGCCCTCTCTTCTTATCCGCTGCACACTTCACTCTCCACTCCATGCCTATGTCACTGACTCTGGGCCCAGGTCTTGCCACACTGCTGGCCAACCAGGTTTCCACCTGGGTTCACAGGAGTCTACTGACCATTGTAGGGCTTAGCTCACAGCCTTATAACTGTTTTTCCCTCTCTTCCCCTTGTTGGTGGCGAACGTGGTCACTCATCAGAGTGTGTATTCCCATTGAATCTTAGTCTTGGAAGGGGGTTTACTCTGAGGGGGCCCAACACCTTGCCTTGATGTCTCCTGTGCGGGCAACTTGCTTGTTCTTGTAGTCATTGGTCAGTCTGTTTTGTATTTTTTCTGTCAGTCAGTCTTTCAAGAGGTATCTTCTATTCTTCTAGCTGCTCCAGGCTGGTCTGCCGTCCTCTCGGGGAAATTTCCCACCTCTGAAGATTCTGGATGCTGTTCAGGATTCCACCTATAGTCTTACATAATACAGAGGCTCCGCAGGCAGCCTCCTTCACTGGGCACGACGTTGTATCCCTGTTTTAGGTATTCTAATCAGTTATAGGCAGAAGACAGACTTACAAGATTTCTATGGTGATATTTCTGGCTTTTCCTTTCTCTCCCCTTCCGATGTCTATTTTACAATGGAATGCAAGGAATACCAAGATTCAGTAGGCCACCAAGCATCTTAACATTATTTCCACCTTTTTCCCTATTCAGCTATATCTCACTCGGTGTACGCCCTCGCCCTGTTGTTCCAAGGTTGTGTATACATCATTATTTACCTCTGTCCCACTTAGCCCATTCAAACCTGCCTTTTTGTTCTCCCCTCTGCTTTGCTCTTTCATTCCCCCTCTCCAGCATCCTAACTATCCTGTGTCTATTACCTGCCCTATGCTCTACCTTTCCATCCCTCCCCTCACCCCACCCCCTTTAGAATGGGTTTTTTTTCTTAGTCTTTTACAGTAGTGGTCCTATGCAGTATTTCTCTTTTTGTGACTGACTAATTTCACTCAATATAATGCCCTCAAGGTTCATCCATGTGAACTGGTGGTTTGCAGCTTCCTTGTTATTCTTCAAGGTAGCATAATATTCCATTGTGTGTATGTACCACAGTTTATCCATTCTTCAGTTCATGGGCACTTTGGCTGTCTCCATCTCTTTGCTATTGTAAATAGTGCTGCTATGAACATTGGTGTGCATATATCTTCTCGTGTTGTGGTTTGTTTTTCTTGTGGGTAAATACCAAGTAGAGGAATTGCTGGATAATAAGGTATTTCTATTTTCAACCTTCTGAGGAAGTGCCATATTGCTTTCCAGAGAGGTTGGACCATTTTGCAGTCCCACCAGCAATACAGGAATGTCCCAGACTCTCCATATCCACGCCAGCATTTATTGTCCTCAAATTTTTTGATCTTTGCTGTTATTGCTGGTGTGAGATGATATCTCGTTGGTGTTTTGATTTGCATCTCTATAATGGCTAGTGATGATGGAATGAAAATTGAAATCTTTAAAGAAAGTGAGGCAGCACAAGAGGCACTCACTCATCTCTGGCAAGAAATTTGTAAGACAACTATGTGGCCAACTGATTGGAAGATACCAGTATTTGTGCCCATTCCAAAGAGAGGTGATCCAACAGAATGCGGAAATCTTTGGACAATCTCTTTGATATCTCAAGCGAGTAAAGTTTTGCGAAAGGTAATACAGAAACGGCTACAATCATACATTGACAGAGAACTTCCAGAGGTTCAAGCTGGATTCAGAAGAGGCCGGGGAACGAGAGATATCATTGCTGATATCCAGTGGATCTTGGCTGAAAGCAGAGAATATCAGAAAGATGTTTACCTATGTTTTATTGACTACGCAAAGGCTTTC